TTTTGTTCGGTATACGACTTAATTCAATTATACGCGCCATCTATGAACAAGTAGCACTATCGGTGTACTACACTAGACTAGACGTTCGCGGTGCTATGGTTTATAACTTTGTTAAATTTCTTCTGATTTTAATTTGTAAGTAACATTTTATTATTTTTATTATTCACGAATTGCAAAAGGGCAACAGAAAAATAAAAAAAATGACTAGAATCACAACGGAACTGAAAAAAGAGATTGTTGAGAAATATGAAGGTGGCACGCGTGTTCGAAATTTAACTGTTGCATTCCATATTCCGAGAACGACGATATCGACAATCGTGAAAAATAAAAACATTATTAAATTTGCTAACGTTGCGAAAGGGGTTAAATCAATTTCTAAACAGAGATCGAAGACATTAGATCATGTCGAGAAATTGCTTTTGCTTTGGACAACTGAAAAACAGTGTGCCGGCGACAGCGTATCGGAAGAAATTATTTGCGAGAAAGTTAAAAGGATACATGCTGATCTCATGAAAAATCAAGCAGAAACTAGCGAGGAAAACGAGGTGTTTAAACCCAGCCATTTTTTTTACATGAGAACGGATTAATCATTTTTACATTACTTCTTATGGGAAAGGTTGGTTTGGTATACATCCTATTCGGTATAAGTCCAAACACCAGGAACGGATTAAGGTCGTATACCGAGGTTCCACTGTATTCATTTTTTTATCACTAACTGTTTAAATTCAAATACAAAACTCAGTTCAGAAGCTTTCCACATTTTTGTCAATTTTTCTGGTATAAAATATTCTTGTTTAAAAAGAAAGAAATCCTTGTTCATGCCTGGAAAATGGATTCACTTAAGAAGTTTTCAACTGAATTCCATTGAAAACTTGATATCTATATATTCTATATACATTTTTAATTGTATTGCTTTATTTTTAATTGTATTTTTATACATTTCAACTACCATCCCACCCCTGTAAGCCCCATAATGCTACCACAAATATTCCCCAAAATTATGTAATACTTCACTTTCAATATGCAACACCCACAACAGATCTCTGAAAGTTTCACAGTTGAAATTTGACAGCCAATCAAAAGCATACTTTCAACTTTTGAATGTTAAATGATGAAAAAAACTTATTATGAGTGCTTTCAAAAATTATAAATAATTAGCACATTTAAGATATGTTTCTGATTCAAGATGTAACAAACTGTATATTGAAATAAATCCAATTTATTAATTTCATACTAGTATACATTCATCTATACTAATATTATAAAGAGGTAATGTTTGTATGTATGTAAGTTTGTATGCAGCAGGTAATCTCCAAAACTACTCATCCGATTTCAAAAATTTTTTCACCAATATTTAGAATGGAACTTCAGGNGTAAAAATAATATTAAAGTAGCCAGACATAGCCAAATATTGTAGCGCCACATCACTAGCGGACATTTGAAATTTGCCAACTAGGGCGATCGGTTAACCGAGGTGGCGGTTAATCGGGGGTCGGATAATCGAAGCTCTACTGTATTTCTAACCAAAACTTCCATTTTGTTTGTTGGTGTTCGTGACTTACCGCGTAGTTATGTCAATTTTATCATCGCGTGTAATAGCCGGGTTCTTCTCAAGCGAGTTACCTGTGCGAACAGCACGATGTTCCACTGGCGACAGCCACAATCCAGATTGTGGGTAAATCGAGATCGAAGTGAGTCGTGGATTGTGTGCGAACGGGGTATAACACATTATTTACTGCAGTAAGTAACTTAAAAACAATTACGAATAAAATAAATAAATAAAACAATTGAAAACCCAAAAAGTAGATGCCATTTTGAAACCATTTATCATTTTATTCTCCTAATTTAGTCAAATTTTCAATAATACAAGCAATTTTAGACTGACCTAGACTCCACATTACCTGAGTGTACAACTGAAACTGAAAATGATGCAACTTCCATTCTGCAATGAAGTTTCTAAGAAAAATGATCATGAGCTTGATGCAGCGATCGTGTTTGTGTATTGGTAAATAAATATGTTAATTTTCTTTATTTTTTGTGTATTCAGTACGCTATATTGAACAAAATGGTTATGCGGCTCGCGCTCGTCATTCTCTCAGTTATGTGGCCCGCTGTGAAAAAAGTTTGGTGATCCCTGTTCTAGAGGATGAACAAGTAGGTCTAAAAAGCTCAAATTATAGACTTTAGTCTCTCTGGTTATCAGTGATAAAAATTATTTCAAAATACTTCTGTCTGGTATACTTAGTCTGTGGAAAATCTTTTGTGTAAAACTTGTGAAAATTTTCACACATTAATCCACAAAGCCACGTCAAGGCGACATCCATTTTGTGGTAGTTTTTTGATTTCCAGAAACTAACCCTGATTACTTGACAGAATAACAATCAAGGAATAAAACTGGATATTCGTTGCTATTCGATTGATTCATTAAGCCGAAATCGATGGCAAAAAATTCAATTATTAGGTTATTTTAATCAAATGTTTTTTGGGGACATTCTCATAAAAATTTGTCAATTTAAAATAAATATAGCAACGAATAAAAGATTACGCTAAAAATGTAAATATAACTGATGTAGATCAAAGAGTCTCGTCGTCAAACAGAACATCAATTTATATCCCGAAGGTCTTTCAACACCCAAATGAAGATCTGTCAGTCGTCATGTCCTCTACAGAAGAGAAAAACCTTGTTACCAACCTTAAATTGTATTTTTAAGGAGAAATGTGCAAACTAACCGGAAAATAGAGTACAAGTGTATATTTTAATCTTTCAGACCATATAAAAGCTGTAAGGTCTTCAATAGAATGCGTGTTAATCACATTCTACATTTTCAATGTAGAACTTGTAGTTAAACTTCCGAGTAAATAACGTTAATGCTGGTCGCGGTTGAACACTAACGCTGGGCACATAATAGATACTTGTTTCTAGCACTTTTATACATACATGTTATTAATAATTTTGGTTTGTAAACTGCTAGGTTGATTTGTAATACTCTAGGGTGAGGTTGGTGCTCCGTAAAGCGTGTGCGCGAATATGGCTTTTTGGATGCCGACGATACGGCGCTTCCACTCCGCCAATATTCGAATATACAATAGCAATCCTATCCTTTTTTTCACTTGTAGTATAGAAATTTGTAATAAGATACATAATGCGGTTATAATAAAATATTGCGCGATTATTTTCATATAATTAAAATTAATATGTATTTATTTTTTAGAAAATACGAGGGAAGCGGCGCATCCACCGCTTCCAATGACGGCACGCCCTGCAGTAGGCTAAATTTTATTTNCTTCCACTCCGCCAATATTCGAATATACAATAGCAATCCTATCCTTTTTTTCACTTGTAGTATAGAAATTTGTAATAAGATACATAATGCGGTTATAATAAAATATTGCGCGATTATTTTCATATAATTAAAATTAATATGTATTTATTTTTTAGAAAATACGAGGGAAGCGGCGCATCCACCGCTTCCAATGACGGCACGCCCTGCAGTAGGCTAAATTTTATTTTCCATCCAGTTTTCTGGCTTCATCGTAAAAGAAAATAATAAGTTTCATAACAATTATTTACACGTCATCTATAAGGTATACACAGTACAACAATGGTTTGCATTGTTTTGGACTTATTAGCTCTTACAGGAAACTCAGTAAATCAACGTTTGTATTAAAAATTGGCAATGCAACTAACAGGATTGGAATTTTGCATGAAACTGTTTAAATTAACAATAAATATAATAAAATCAAAAATAATTTCGGATATAATTATTTCAGTGTGTTGTTTAAAATTATAAGTTAATTCAATAGATATCTATTAGTGAAATTTATTATAAAAATTGAATAAAATAAATTCATAACAAAAATTTTATTACCTGGATTATTTGCATTGGCATAATTGCAATACACACTCAGTCAATCATTACTAAATACAGATATAATATGAAATATATAAAAAGAAAAATATGGAAATGATTCTTTGGAGATTCTTTCAGTGATACATAAATTTTGCCATATAAAGACTTAAAAATTATGTAAAATACATAGCTTAGCTTAAAGTTAAAAATATTACAAAATTAATGGGGGGAAACCACTTCAGATTTTAAAATAAAATTTGCATAGAAACACAATATATAATGTCTTATAATAAAATTAGTTATGTGAGTTATTTGAAATACAGACAAGAATTAAATTGTGCCATGTTTTAAATCTTGATTAATAAATTTACAACAATTTTTATTTAATGAAAAGCAAAAATTGTTTGTACAAGTTCAAGCCAGTTTTTAAGTAGAAATGAGACAGACTAGAATCATATTGCTCCAGAATAAATGATATAAAATTCCATAAACATGGAATAGGTAAATGTCATTCGACTGACATTTTTTCTGACTAAATTCAACAATTTTAANTTAGATGCGGTTTTTTGCATTTTTGATTGCATTTTAATAGGGTACGTCAACAAAATGTACACTAAGAAGGGATTTTTCGATATTCCCCCCGCGGGGGAAAGGGACAGGATTAAGGCTTACTGTGAAGAACTTGGCTTCTATTATACTATTTTAGATGCGAGTTTTTGCGTTTTTGATTGCGTTTTAATAGGGTATGTCAACAGAATGTACACTAAGAAGAAATTTTTCGAAAAATTCCCCCCCCAACGAGGGAAGTGTTATAACACATTTATAATAGATACATTTTGAGCCACAACAAGGCGTGGCGGGGTCTGCTAGTTGAAAAATAAAATGAATATGGTAAAATTTATCTTTATTTTGAAGATAAATTCATTTTATATAACAGAAACAAAGTTTGATGTTTAAAAAAAAAAATAAATACCTGGACAATTCCAACTCCAATACCAATTCCAATTATTATGGTGAGATGATCTTTCAAATATTTCTTTAATTGAGGCACACAACCCTATAAAACAATATTAATTAATCAATTTAATAAATAGGTTCAAAATACACACACACAAATTGCTGTAATTAATTCCAAAATTATATACAAGAAATCATATTTTATGAAATGTAGAGAATTTCATTTTAAATCCTTTCTCATCTTGTCATAAATTCAAATTTCACCATCAAATGATTTGCATGATATACAAAAAATAGAAAAAATTTTATATTAAATCAAATTCATTTTTAAATTTTTAATAATAATAAAGTAACAGAATATATCACAGCCATTTATTGTTAATGATTTTACCATAAAAAAATCATTGTTTTTCAAACATATCTGAAGTTATAATAGACTATCAAGTTTATTATAATTTTAAATTATGTTTCATTACTTCAATGTAATAAAATTCAAGACAAAATTGTAAATCATTTCACTTTATTCCTAAATTTCAGAACATAATCTTGAGTATTATATCACCTTTCATTTTAAATATATTTTGCACTAAACCAAAAGTTTTTCAAAAACATCTAAACATAAGTTTCTGTTTACCCAAAACTGCTCATCATCTTTTTATTTTATTATACTTGTGCTTTTGGATTCCTAAAGAAAACCCATCTTCAGGAATATTAACAGACAAAATTAAAAAATATCAAATAACCATTAAGAACTACATTTATACACTTGATATACAATAAATAAATATTTTTATATTTATGCAAACTGGCCTTTTTTTATATTTAAAATTAGCATGCAAACTATAGAAATATAAGTTGAAAGATTTATACAATATTACAATACAAAATTATGTTGTTTGATATTTTCAAGATACACTTGAGCAAAACAAAAGAAAAAAAAAATTAAAAAAAGATATATTTATATACAATATGGAGTATTTATAAATCTATAGCTTGATATATGTACATTTGAGAGTATTCTATTTGGTATATATCATTACTTTCTTCACATGGCATGTAAGTGCCAACAATGATATAATATGTTACTCATAATACATTATGTTGTATTTCAACATAATCACTAGATCTTTTTTGGCACAATTTTGAAACTTTTCCAGCATTCAGGCCTTGAATACTTCTGCTTCTTCATTGCGAATGGCACAGCATAAAACAATAGAGAAGATGAGACCTAATATCTAGAAAATTTTTTAAAAAATATATGTAATTATATTACAACTGATAAAAAAAGAATCGTAAATAATTTTTAGCAATACAGTAAGCCCTCAATTTAACAGGATAATTAGAGAAAGGAGCATCAACTATTACCAAAGATCTATTAAATCAAACATATTTTTAAAATATGTTTTATACTATTCATGAATTGAAAGTTATAAGTTTTTCTTAAAACAACTTTTTTTCTTGGTCCATCAAATTGGAGTACATTAAATTGAAGACCTACTGTACCATAATTATTATTAATAAAAAATACACATTGTGTTTATATACAAAATTATAATTTCCAATAATTTTAGGTACATACATTTCACAACATGAGAACATCTTTCCAGATGAGAAGATTTTACAATATTTTCACCAGAAGTTTTTAATTGTATCGTTTTAAATTTATCACGCATATCACATGCTTAAAAATAATAATGAGTCGTTATCATTATTACAATCTTACTATAACACCTGAGCTTCACTGAGAGATTTCTTTATTAACAAACATTTTCATTTGTTAATAAAGAATTCTCTCAGATGTTATAGTAAGATTCTACTTCTTCATGCTGAGTACACCTGGTCTTATTGTTATTGTTTTAATAAAACTAATATAATTTTATGCAAAAGAAAAATACTTTATAATTAATTAATTCTTTCTAATAAAGATAGAAATTTTCTTAATCAATGGTTAGGAAGAGTTATTAAAAACATGTATATTTACTAGAAATGTGATACAGAATTCTACCAATACAATCAAATTTGAATAATTTTCTAACTGATCTGATCCTGATACTTGCTTTTATCCATACTCAACAGGTACCAATAATTAAACAAATGCTTTCAGATTTTCATTTAAGAATACAGTGGCACCTCGGTATACGTCTGCTTTAGAATACATCCAATTCGGAATATGTCCTATTTGGACGAAACAAATTTTGCTCGGTATATGACTTTTGTTCGGTATACGACTTAATTCAATTATACGCGCCATCTATGAACAAGTAGAACTATTGGTGTACTACACTAGACTAGACGTTCGCGGTGCTATGGTTTATAACTTTGTTAAATTTCTTCTGATTTTAATTTGTAAGTAACATTTTATTATTTTTATTATTCACGAATTGCAAAAGGGCAACAGAAAAATAAAAAAAATGACTAGAATCACAACGGAACTGAAAAAAGAGATTGTTGAGAAATATGAAGGTGGCACGCGTGTTCGAGATTTAACTGTTGCATTCCATATTCCGAGAACGACGATATCGACAATCGTGAAAAATAAAAACATTATTAAATTTGCTAACGTTGCGAAAGGGGTTAAATCAATTTCTAAACAGAGATCGAAGACATTAGATCATGTCGAGAAATTGCTTTTGCTTTGGATAACTGAAAAACAGNGCGTTGAATTTTCATCGATGTTAAGCCTAACAAAAATTTTTTAAAATAATAATCATCGCTATTGTATCGTTAAAAATTAGAAAAGTAAGCCTCGTTTAAATACTGGCTCCCTTTCATGGTCGAATGAGTGTTGCCAGCTAAAACACGTAAAAATAATATTAAAGTAGCCAGACATAGCCAAATATTGTAGCGCCACATCACTAGCGGACATTTGAAATTTGCCAACTAGGGCGATCGGTTAACCGAGGTGGCGGTTAATCGGGGGTCGGATAATCGAAGCTCTACTGTATTTCTAACCAAAACTTCCATTTTGTTTGTTGGTGTTCGTGACTTACCGCGTAGTTATGTCAATTTTATCATCGCGTGTAATAGCCGGGTTCTTCTCAAGCGAGTTACCTGTGCGAACAGCACGATGTTCCACTGGCGACAGCCACAATCCAGATTGTGGGTAAATCGAGATCGAAGTGAGTCGTGGATTGTGTGCGAACGGGGTATAACACATTATTTACTGCAGTAAGTAACTTAAAAACAATTACGAATAAAATAAATAAATAAAACAATTGAAAACCCAAAAAGTAGATGCCATTTTGAAACCATTTATCATTTTATTCTCCTAATTTAGTCAAATTTTCAATAATACAAGCAATTTTAGACTGACCTAGACTCCACATTACCTGAGTGTACAACTGAAACTGAAAATGATGCAACTTCCATTCTGCAATGAAGTTTCTAAGAAAAATGATCATGAGCTTGATGCAGCGATCGTGTTTGTGTATTGGTAAATAAATATGTTAATTTTCTTTATTTTTTGTGTATTCAGTACGCTATATTGAACAAAATGGTTATGCGGCTCGCGCTCGTCATTCTCTCAGTTATGTGGCCCGCTGTGAAAAAAGTTTGGTGATCCCTGTTCTAGAGGATGAACAAGTAGGTCTAAAAAGCTCAAATTATAGACTTTAGTCTCTCTGGTTATCAGTGATAAAAATTATTTCAAAATACTTCTGTCTGGTATACTTAGTCTGTGGAAAATCTTTTGTGTAAAACTTGTGAAAATTTTCACACATTAATCCACAAAGCCACGTCAAGGCGACATCCATTTTGTGGTAGTTTTTTGATTTCCAGAAACTAACCCTGATTACTTGACAGAATAACAATCAAGGAATAAAACTGGATATTCGTTGCTATTCGATTGATTCATTAAGCCGAAATCGATGGCAAAAAATTCAATTATTAGGTTATTTTAATCAAATGTTTTTTGGGGACATTCTCATAAAAATTTGTCAATTTAAAATAAATATAGCAACGAATAAAAGATTACGCTAAAAATGTAAATATAACTGATGTAGATCAAAGAGTCTCGTCGTCAAACAGAACATCAATTTATATCCCGAAGGTCTTTCAACACCCAAATGAAGATCTGTCAGTCGTCATGTCCTCTACAGAAGAGAAAAACCTTGTTACCAACCTTAAATTGTATTTTTAAGGAGAAATGTGCAAACTAACCGGAAAATAGAGTACAAGTGTATATTTTAATCTTTCAGACCATATAAAAGCTGTAAGGTCTTCAATAGAATGCGTGTTAATCACATTCTACATTTTCAATGTAGAACTTGTAGTTAAACTTCCGAGTAAATAACGTTAATGCTGGTCGCGGTTGAACACTAACGCTGGGCACATAATAGATACTTGTTTCTAGCACTTTTATACATACATGTTATTAATAATTTTGGTTTGTAAACTGCTAGGTTGATTTGTAATACTCTAGGGTGAGGTTGGTGCTCCGTAAAGCGTGTGCGCGAATATGGCTTTTTGGATGCCGACGATACGGCGCTTCCACTCCGCCAATATTCGAATATACAATAGCAATCCTATCCTTTTTTTCACTTGTAGTATAGAAATTTGTAATAAGATACATAATGCGGTTATAATAAAATATTGCGCGATTATTTTCATATAATTAAAATTAATATGTATTTATTTTTTAGAAAATACGAGGGAAGCGGCGCATCCACCGCTTCCAATGACGGCACGCCCTGCAGTAGGCTAAATTTTATTTTCCATCCAGTTTTCTGGCTTCATCGTAAAAGAAAATAATAAGTTTCATAACAATTATTTACACGTCATCTATAAGGTATACACAGTACAACAATGGTTTGCATTGTTTTGGACTTATTAGCTCTTACAGGAAACTCAGTAAATCAACGTTTGTATTAAAAATTGGCAATGCAACTAACAGGATTGGAATTTTGCATGAAACTGTTTAAATTAACAATAAATATAATAAAATCAAAAATAATTTCGGATATAATTATTTCAGTGTGTTGTTTAAAATTATAAGTTAATTCAATAGATATCTATTAGTGAAATTTATTATAAAAATTGAATAAAATAAATTCATAACAAAAATTTTATTACCTGGATTATTTGCATTGGCATAATTGCAATACACACTCAGTCAATCATTACTAAATACAGATATAATATGAAATATATAAAAAGAAAAATATGGAAATGATTCTTTGGAGATTCTTTCAGTGATACATAAATTTTGCCATATAAAGACTTAAAAATTATGTAAAATACATAGCTTAGCTTAAAGTTAAAAATATTACAAAATTAATGGGGGGAAACCACTTCAGATTTTAAAATAAAATTTGCATAGAAACACAATATATAATGTCTTATAATAAAATTAGTTATGTGAGTTATTTGAAATACAGACAAGAATTAAATTGTGCCATGTTTTAAATCTTGATTAATAAATTTACAACAATTTTTATTTAATGAAAAGCAAAAATTGTTTGTACAAGTTCAAGCCAGTTTTTAAGTAGAAATGAGACAGACTAGAATCATATTGCTCCAGAATAAATGATATAAAATTCCATAAACATGGAATAGGTAAATGTCATTCGACTGACATTTTTTCTGACTAAATTCAACAATTTTAAACTATTAACAAGTTCTTAAACTGCACACTTTACTTGTGCATGGTGTTTTCCTTTCAATTTTATTGCTAAAAGTGATGAAAGATTTTTTTTAACAGTTTTACTGATTGTCAAATGAATTATACATACTGTATTTGTACATATGCCGATCACTTTGTTCTAAAATTCATCATATAATTGGAACATTGACATATACAACTTCACACCATTTATTAAACATTAACTAACGAAACAACATAAAATATATTAATAATTTAATATAGAAAAAATAGTCATTTTTGTGCTCTATCTTATCATTTGTACAAGGTATTGGAAAAGGAAGCAAATGTTTTGTAATGTAAACATTGCTGTAATTCATAAACTTTCTATTGTAATGATCATTAAATGTAAAAAAAGCAATAGTAGAAGTAAAATTATAAAATTAATAAAAAGAAATCTCATTTAAAATATTGTATACAGAATACTTAAATATAATTGTTTATCTTAGATTCCTTTAACTGAAGTTATAGATTCATTCAAAATAATTGAAATCCTTAAATTTCCTTAAATTGGTTTATAAAAACACAACCAAATACTTGGTTGAATTAATAAGTAAAATAATTATAAAGTTTGTATGAAAATTAAGTTAAAAAAAAGGGTATTAGAAAATGAAAATTTTTCTCAGATTGGTCTCCAAATAGGCAGTTGTTACTTTAACTTATTTATTAATATTTACCAAGAAAGGGATGCATTACAAAAATACAGTATTCCAGAAGTCTGAAACAATAGGAGTTATGTTGATCTTCATTATTTTTTTTACAGGTAAAACAATGCTAAATGAAGTGGAATGAATTCAAGTTATTTTGATTGTAGAAACCTGCAGTCAGCATGAAATTACTGAAGAGTTTAACAAGTTGCATCTACTCAGTGTGTGATTGATAGGAAGTTTGGATACACTTAAATTCATCATTGACTTCATGTTGACTGTGGTGGATCCCCATCATCAAATTAACTTGAACTTTTTTCTCATCACTTGGTGCCATGTTTTATATGTAAAAAAAATCAAAATAATTCTCATGGTTCCACACTTTGGGACATCCTGCAATATGAATAAAGTGCATTTTTTAACTCAATTATTGAAAAAAGACATTTAAGTAATGCTAAAATATTCCGGTTTCATTAACAATAAATATTATTATGTGATATGTAATTGACATAAATGATACATCAACTGTTATTAATATTGAAAAATAATTATACTTGTAAGATTAGAAGCTTTAAAATTCAACATATTCCATTTTACTGATCAAACTTCCAACCATTTTACTTACATACAAATTAATCTTAACTAATTATAACATCAAAATATTAATTATCCTAGAGCATTTAACTATTATCTTAGTGTTATGATGTAATTAAATGGCTTAATATTTTAAATATAATTCAAATCAGCTGTAAATACTAAGTTTTTTGTATAAATTTAAGCTGATTTATTTAAAATCTATAATTCACATAAAAAGTGTTCAGTATTTACCAGTTTTGCTGAGTTGAATTTCAAAAAATATATCACTTTTTGATGATTCTAAGACTAATATAATTATAATTAGTTGTCTCGAAATTTTCACTATTATAATGAATATTCAATAGTAAACTTTTAAAGAAGTTAATCATTATTAACAAAAATAATTGCATTAGATATGAAAATAAAAATTTTGAATTAATAATTATATGATATAAATTAGCATTAATAAATAAAAAGTTTTTAGGTCAACTTAAAAGATATTTTGGTTTAAATATAACTAGTGTTATTCATTTTTGTTGCTTATGTTATCACTTATACCTGAACAAATTTAACTATTTTGTTAACCTTTTCCACTTATGTTTATTTTTTTGATAAAGCTAGGCTATTTCTTTCATCTATTTTTAAATACAATCATAAAATATAACTGTACATTTTGTTTTTTTAAAATACTTTCCCAAACATTGCACCAAGGACTGTTGAGCGGTAGAGGAGGACGGATCACTCTTACAATTCAGATTTGCCACATGATGGTATTTATAAAACTTGGTGAAATAATTTTTGGAAAAATTTGGGCAACTTAAAACTTTGATCATCAACTGAAATTATCATAGTTGTTTCAGATCTTAAAATATTCAAACTAAATTACTGATTAAACTCTTCACATTATGTACAAAGTCAGTATGCATATATCCTTAACAGCAGTATAAATTTTAATTGTAGAAATATAAGTTGAAAGATTTATACAATATTACAATACAAAATTATGTTGTTTGATATTTTCAAGATACACTTGAGCAAAACAAAAGAAAAAAAAAATTAAAAAAAGATATATTTATATACAATATGGAGTATTTATAAATCTATAGCTTGATATATGTACATTTGAGAGTATTCTATTTGGTATATATCATTACTTTCTTCACATGGCATGTAAGTGCCAACAATGATATAATATGTTACTCATAATACATTATGTTGTATTTCAACATAATCACTAGATCTTTTTTGGCACAATTTTGAAACTTTTCCAGCATTCAGGCCTTGAATACTTCTGCTTCTTCATTGCGAATGGCACAGCATAAAACAATAGAGAAGATGAGACCTAATATCTAGAAAATTTTTTAAAAAATATATGTAATTATATTACAACTGATAAAAAAAGAATCGTAAATAATTTTTAGCAATACAGTAAGCCCTCAATTTAACAGGATAATTAGAGAAAGGAGCATCAACTATTACCAAAGATCTATTAAATCAAACATATTTTTAAAATATGTTTTATACTATTCATGAATTGAAAGTTATAAGTTTTTCTTAAAACAACTTTTTTTCTTGGTCCATCAAATTGGAGTACATTAAATTGAAGACCTACTGTACCATAATTATTATTAATAAAAAATACACATTGTGTTTATATACAAAATTATAATTTCCAATAATTTTAGGTACATACATTTCACAACATGAGAACATCTTTCCAGATGAGAAGATTTTACAATATTTTCACCAGAAGTTTTTAATTGTATCGTTTTAAATTTATCACGCATATCACATGCTTAAAAATAATAATGAGTCGTTATCATTATTACAATCTTACTATAACACCTGAGCTTCACTGAGAGATTTCTTTATTAACAAACATTTTCATTTGTTAATAAAGAATTCTCTCAGATGTTATAGTAAGATTCTACTTCTTCATGCTGAGTACACCTGGTCTTATTGTTATTGTTTTAATAAAACTAATATAATTTTATGCAAAAGAAAAATACTTTATAATTAATTAATTCTTTCTAATAAAGATAGAAATTTTCTTAATCAATGGTTAGGAAGAGTTATTAAAAACATGTATATTTACTAGAAATGTGATACAGAATTCTACCAATACAATCAAATTTGAATAATTTTCTAACTGATCTGATCCTGATACTTGCTTTTATCCATACTCAACAGGTACCAATAATTAAACAAATGCTTTCAGATTTTCATTTAAGAATACAGTGGCACCTCGGTATACGTCTGCTTTAGAATACATCCAATTCGGAATATGTCCTATTTGGACGAAACAAATTTTGCTCGGTATATGACTTTTGTTCGGTATACGACTTAATTCAATTATACGCGCCATCTATGAACAAGTAGAACTATTGGTGTACTACACTAGACTAGACGTTCGCGGTGCTATGGTTTATAACTTTGTTAAATTTCTTCTGATTTTAATTTGTAAGTAACATTTTATTATTTTTATTATTCACGAATTGCAAAAGGGCAACAGAAAAATAAAAAAAATGACTAGAATCACAACGGAACTGAAAAAAGAGATTGTTGAGAAATATGAAGGTGGCACGCGTGTTCGAGATTTAACTGTTGCATTCCATATTCCGAGAACGACGATATCGACAATCGTGAAAAATAAAAACATTATTAAATTTGCTAACGTTGCGAAAGGGGTTAAATCAATTTCTAAACAGAGATCGAAGACATTAGATCATGTCGAGAAATTGCTTTTGCTTTGGATAACTGAAAAACAGTGTGCC